GTTGACAATTCCCTCTGCTGTGCAGAGGTCTTCCTTATGGTGTAGTCCCATGTGGCTGGTTTTGCTTTTGGAAGGATATCCAAATAAATCAAGGCCAGTCAGTGTTATGTAGCCTTTTCTCTGTTTATTTGAGGAGGTTTTTTTTTTTTTTTTTTTTTTTTTTGTTTTTTTTTTTGCTTTTGTGGGGTAGAAGAAGCTGTAAGGCAGAGTCTCATTAGGAACCTTGGCTAGCCTGCAGCTCACCCTGTAAACCATGCTAGCCTTGAACTTGTGGTGGTCATCTTTAATCCCCCGCCCCCATGGGCCAGTTTTAAAAGCATGTACTGGGCTTTGGGTATACTATCCTGGGCTTTGCTTCTAGAAGTTTTATGGTTCTTTTAACATATAAAGATATGTTAAAATCTTTATTCTGTTTAGAATTGACTTCTATATACAATGTTAGGTAAGGGTCCAATTTCTTTCTTTACGTGTGGTTATTCATTTCCCCCAGTACCATTTATTAAAGAGTTTATTGTTTGCTTTTCTGTCTCGATTTAATTGCTTCTGTTTATTCTGAACTCTCTATATTCTGTTGGTTTTATGTATAGCTAATTCCAGTACCATATTGTTTTGATTGATGTGACTTTATAATGTCATTTGAAATCAGGAAGTAAAGTGTGTCCAACTTTGTTTTTATTTTCAAGATTGTTTTGGGTAATATGACAACTTTTGTGGTTACATACAAATTTTAGAATTTTTTTTTCTATTTATATGAAAAGTTCCATTAGAATTTTTATGGGAATTGAGTTGAATCTGTAAGGTCTAGTTATATGCTGTCTAAAAGAAATGTGCCCTTTAGATTCAGAGATGCTTACAGGCCAAAATAGTATGCATGAAAATGTTAACTAGAAGAAAAGAGGCTGTACTTAAAAGGTAAACTGCAGAAACAAGAAAGTTGATATATATTGAGGGAAGGGCCAGTTAACCTGAAAGTGTAACTAAGTATACATGTACCCAACATCAGAGGACCTACCGCTACAGTAGCACAGTAGCATGTGAAGGGAGGAGGCTGAGAGCAGACAGCATTTGGAGACTTCAGTACCTACTGCAGTAATAGACAGGAAGTCAAGGAGCAGCAGACACGAACTGTGTTATGGACTCAGTGAGCCTCTTCCAAGATAGCTTACTTTTTGTGTTGTTGAAAATGTAATTTTCTTCTAGTCTGTCATCAAATTATAATCAGTTTTATAAGTAATAGTTTTCCCCTGATCACAAAACCAAATTCAACTTATAATAGTTTCTAATTGGTATCCTTGGATTTTTAAAATCATATCACTTGCAATCTGATAGTTTACTTCTTTCCTTCTAGGTTTTTACCCCCCCCCCCACTGTCTCTCTCTGTCTTTTGTATGTGTGTACTCTCTCTGTGTGTGTGTTTTGTTTTGTTTTTCAAGACAGGGTTTCTCTGTGTAATAGCCCTGTCTATCCTGGAACTCAATCTGTAGACCAGGCTGGCCTTGAACTCACAGAGATCCACCTGCCTCTGAGTGCTGGGATTAAAGATGTGCACCACCACCACCACCACCACCACCACCACCCAGTTTATTTTTTTCTTTTAATACAGTTCTTAAAACAACAGTGATGGAATTTTGGAAGTTAATCTTATGATGGTAAAGAAGAATTCTGGTGCTCAGCATGATGTCTTATGCCCTTAATTCTAGCACTATAGATGTAGAAACATGGAGATCAGGATTTCAAGGCCAGCCTTATGTACATAATGAGCTTAATTAGCCTGTGCTACATGAATATCCTGTCTCAAAAAATTAGGGGCTAGACAGATGGCTCAGCAGTTAACTCTTGCTGCTCTTACTGAGGACTCTGGTTTGGTTTCCAGTCTCACATAGTCACTTACAACCACCTGCAAACCCAGTTGCAGGGGATCTGATGTCCTCTTCTGCCTCTGAAGGCTTCGGGCATACATGTGGTGCACAAATGTATGTGTAGTCAAAACACCCATGTACAGTAAATACAAGCTATTCTCAAAAAAAAAAAAAAAAAGGCTACATTTGGTGACCTGCTGTTTCACGTCTGTCTTCCTAGCACTGTGTGGCAGCAGAAAAAATACCACTGCAAGCTCAGAGCCAGCCTGTTCTACTTAATGAAGCCCAGGCTAGCCATGCGAGTCACATAGTGAGACCCTGCTCACCCCATCCCTGCAAATCCCCTACAATTACATCAGGCTGGGGATTAGTGTACCTGCCTGTTGGGCTCAAAGTCTGCATTCTTATCACCAGCTCCACCAACTTTAAAACAGAATTGTCTCAAGTTGGAGGATGCTCCCAGAGGACCCAGGCCCAGTTTGAAGCTCCCAAATGGAGCTTTTAACCACCCTTAACTCCAGTCTTGGGGCACGTGGCGCCCTCCTCTAACCTCAGCATCATCCATGCAGGCAGAGCACAGCGTAAGGATAATAAATAAATAAATCTTTCCAGGTGATCTGATATCTTCACACCAGTGCACATTAAAAAAATAAATAAATTATCTAAGAAAAAGAAATAGGCAGGGTGGTACACACCTCTGATCTCTGTACTTGGAAGGCAGAGGCAGATAGATCTCTGAGTTCAAGAACAGCCTGCTAGGACTATTAGAAAAAAAGAAAAGCAAAGCAAAAGGGTTATCAAAGGGTGATGATAAATGGATAATTGGGCAGTCCCCATTTATTGTGCCACAGCTCACATGCAGGGACCGTGTGGGTTTTTTCCTTCCTCCCTGTGGGTTTTGGGGACCAAATAGACTTGGCAGCAAGAGCCTTTGCCCATTGAGCTATCTTCCCAGCCCACATATATGAAATTCTCAAAAAATAAATAAAAAATCGCATTTGGTATCTGTTTTTAAAGCCGGCCTGGTCCAGATGGGAAGTTCCAGGCCAGTCAGGGCTACATAATGAGACTGTGTCTTAAAAACAACAAACAAAATATGGGGTCGGGTGTTACATCTTTAATCCAAGAACTTAAGATGCAGAGAGAGATGTCAAGGAGGGAGAGAGATCTGCCTGGGCTATACAGAAAGTTCCATATAGAGCTATATAGTGAGACTTTGCCTCCAGCCCTCCAAAAAGATACTCGTGAGTTCACACTGTAGCCTCCTCTTTTAAGTACCCATTGTATATTTTTACTCTGTGCTTCTTTGTTATTATAAATTTTAGGTTTTTTCTTTCCTTCAAAGAATTTTTCTTTTAAGAGCATAACTACTGGTTATACAGACAATCTGCTAGGTAAACTTCAAGGGTGTATGGTGTGCTTTGGAACACTGAAGGTTTGCCTTCCCCCCTCCTTGTATGTTTTTAACTGAAAAGATTGTCCAACATCTTGATCCAACATCTCAGGAATAAAGAAATAAAGCCTTGCTTCTTTCTGCCTCTATCCAGTGCAGTAATGATAAGTTTCTTAAAGATTTGGTATGCAACCTTCAAATTTATTATATATCAATTTGTAAGTGCTATATATAAGACAGAATCATTACATAGACTGTGTGAACATAGAGAACTTTTATTTTTCTTCTTACCAAATTTTTATGCTTTGGGGTTTATTCCATAGTACATAAAAAGTTCTGTGTTCTCATCTTGGTTGTGTTATTACTTATTTGGGTTTTGTGGGGAAAGGTTTGTTTGTTTGTTTGTTTGTTGAGCCAAGCTTACCTGGGAACTCACAGTGTAGTCAGGTTAAGACTCAACAGCAATTCCCTTGGCTCAGCCTCCCCAAGTGCTAAGATTACAGCCGTGAGCTTGCTACAATTACTCAATTTGGCCAACCCTCTACTGAATGTGTCCTTGTGTAATTATCTTTGTGCTGTTTATGAAATAGTCTGTATGGGAAATTTCTAGAGATAGACTTCTTGGGATAGATAAATACATATTAAACTTTGAAAATTATTTTCAAATTTCCTCCTCAAGGTTACACATATGAATTTATATTAGAGACTGTTTTTTGAGATAAGTCTTACTGTGTAACCCTGACTTGTATGTAGACCAGGCTGGCCATCCAACCCAGAGAAGCCAGCCTGCTGTCTCCTGAGTGCTGGGATTAGAGGTGTACAGCAGCATGCTCCCCACACCCCAAATTTTAAAAATGGGGCCAGCAAGATAGCCTTGAGTTTGACAACATAAGTTCAATCCCCAGAACCCACAGAAGCCATGTAAAGGTGAAAGAAGAAATTCAACTCCACAAGGTTGTCCTCTGACACCCACATGCAGCACCACAGAAGCACCCATCCCCTCAAAACAGTTTTCACAGTCTCCTCACTAGGTGGAAGTGCCTCACAGACATTTCTACTGATCCTCTAAGATAAATGAAATCTCACCGTTTTCCTTTATCCTGGGACTAATTTGTTAACCACTAAACTCCTTTTGTTTTTCTTCTTCAGCTTATGTGTGGATAGAAGATAAATTGTAATTCAGTACGATTCTAGATTATGATAATTTGCTGAAGATCTCTCTATTCAAAATTTTTTCAGCCAGCCATTAGTGAGGCACGCCTTTAATCCCTGCACTGGGGAGGCAGAGGCAGGTGGATCTCTGAGTTCAAGGCCAGCCTGGTCTACAGAGTTTCAAGAGTGCCAAGGCTACACAGCATGTGAATACTGTCCAATAGCAAATTACCCACTGGAACACTACATAAACAGACTTTGGAACTTTGCTTTTTATTGGTAAATGACATTGATAAATTATTTGATAAAATGTTTACGGGGATTAAAATGGTTGCTGTAGTCTAAAAATCACAAAGAAATTGACTAAAATACACTAAGAATATAAGATAGTTTTTGTTTGTATATTTACTTTGCTATCAGTTTCTAAGAAAAACATCCATTTGTTTGCTATGAATAGTCTGTGAATCTTATACAAAGGCAAAATGAAGCAAGAAATTCAATAAAACTTTATGTGGAACATGTGATTTATGTCAGCTTTTACAAAACTTTGTTCTCCACACACTCAGTGAGCTTTTTCTTGCCTGTGTTCCTTGCAGCCTAAGTGTGATGGACAGGTCTTACTGACTCAAGTGTGGAAGCATTTGAACCTGATTGAATGTGACTACTTTGGTCTGGAGTTTAAGAATGTCCAGTCCTACTGGGTATGTGCTTTTGATTTGCTTTGGAAACTGGGTTTGACTGTGTTGTAGAATAATCATGGTGTACAAAAAGCCTTTTAGGTCATACTATAATGATGTAAACAAGATGTTTGATATGTAACACATTATTCCTAGCAAAGCTATGATATTAAAGTACTTGATTTTCACCTGGGAGGAATATACCTGCCTTTAAGCCTAAATGCATATCCTCATTCAACTCATTCTACCCACTAGCATCTGTGCCAAGGAAAAATTTCTGAGTTGCCATAGCAACCACTGATGCATACTGTTAGATCTGAATTGTGTTGAAAGTTGATTTTGAGCAAAGTCAGCTGATTTTGCACCATTTTATTAAAATGTAAGAACTGTGGCTTGTTATTATTTATAGTTGTGACTGTTTTTAAAAACAAAAACCTCCTCAGCCCTGTAGATGAGAAAGTGTGTTGTTGCTGTGCTCTGTCCTGTGTTAGCCCCCAGCAGCAGGGTGGGTTAGCTAAGTTTTTCTGCTTTGGTGCACAGCAGACACCTTTCACATAGCAGCATCTCCTCAGTTTGTTGTTTGCTCACATCTGGTTCTGTCTGAGACTGTAGAGTTATCCAAATTAGTGTTACAGAATTATAGGACATTAACACTACTCCAGCTTCTTGATGAAGGCATTGCTGAGCTCCTGGTACAGCTTGTTAAGATAGGATTAATGTGTAAGAGAACAAAAGAAAATATCCTGTCATAAAATCTTCTAATTAATTATTGCATTTTGTAGCATACTTACTAAAAGAGGAAATTTTTAATAGTTTTATTCTCTTCTGTTTAAAACCCTGTTTAGATTTGGCTTGAACCCATGAAGCCCATCATTAGGCAAGTACGAAGTAAGTACCTTGTTCTGAACCGGTGAACCCCGGGTGTGTTGATGGCCATTGTCACAGCCTCCTCCCTATAGGTGGTAATAGTCATAGTGAGTAAACGTGAATCACTTTGCTGGTTGGTTTTAAACTACAGCGAATAGGCATAAGGACACTAGATTTAACAAAAATAGTCATAACTTGCCTTAAATTTGAGAGTCATAGGATTTATTGCTTGGTATCTTAATTGTCAATATGTTAGGAAGAAAGTAGAAGTTTCTTTCTAAGTCATAAAAAGACACTGCCAGGCCTCTTTAAGAAACTTTTTTGGAGGACTAGAGAGATAGTTAAATGGTTAAGAGTACTTGCTGCTTTTGCAGGATCTACTGCCCATATGGAGGCTTATAAGAGCCTGCGACTCCAGTGCAGGAGACCTGACACCATCTTCCAGCCTCCAGGGGTATCAAGAAGACATGTTGGGCACATACATACATGCAAGCAAACACTTCTGCACTTAACAAACTTTTTGGTTTGGTGCCTTTTGCAGATCCAGATTATTCTAGTTCTCTAGTTCAGTTAGTAAGTGCCAGTGTCATTTTTCTCTGCCTAAAGTGTACATATGAATTTTTAAATGTGTTTTTATGACCACAAATAATGGTATAAGCATCTTAATGAAATTCTATCCTAAAATATAAACAGGAATGTATTTTATTCTCTGTATTTGCTCATTTTCAAGACAGGGTCTCTCTTTGTAGCTCAGACTAGTCCTGAACCCATGATCCTCCTGCCTCAGCTTCCTAAGTACTGGGATGCACCACCACTCCTGGCCCAGATTTGTTGTTGTTTAAATTCAGTGTTGATACTGCACTTAATTGTGTAACCTCGAATTGCTGCAAATGCACAGCAATCATACTGCCTCAGCATCTCCAGTGATAGGACAACAGCCATGAGCCACCACACCTGGCTATAATTAAATTTTATATATTGAGAAAGGATCTCATGTAGTCTAGGCTGGCCTTAAATTTGCTGTATATCCAAGGATGACCTTGAACTCCTGGTCATTCGGCTCTACCTCTCCAATGCTGGAATTCATGAATACACACACCATACCTGGTTTTTAATGTGGTCTTGGGGATGGAACCCAATACCTTGTGTATGACAGACACACACTTTACCAACTCAACTATATCCTCTCTAGCTTTTTTTCTTTTTCTTTTTGAGGCAAGGTCTCACTGTGTAACCCCAGTTGGCCTTGAACTCACAAAGATCCACTTCCTTCTGCCTTCTAAATGCTGAGATTAAAGGTGTACACCACTATGCCTGACATTAATTTTAAAGTTTTAATGTGTAATTTCCCACCTACTTTAGAATGTTTCCCCAAATAATCTCTGCTTAAAACAAAATATTAAAATTTCTCAATGCATGTGATTGGTAGTTAAGAACTCATAAATGTGTACATAGGAAATTTCCTTAATATTTTATTATAGAGAGAAAATAAATATGGAGATTTACCTTATCTGTGAAATTTTATTTTTATAGGACCAAAAAATGCTGTTCTTCGTCTGGCAGTGAAATTTTTCCCTCCGGATCCTGGTCAGTTGCAGGAAGAGTACACAAGGTAAAGCGCTCACTCTGGTCAGAGACTTCTGTTAGTCACCCAACAGAAGTGAATAAGGCTGCACCTTGAGATCACATAAGCTTAATCTTTGTTTTAGTTAGGATTGTCATTGCTGTGAAAAACCATGACCAGCAGCAAAACCTTTTCCTTGGGGAGGAAAAAATTTATTTAATCTTAAAGCTCTCCAGTCATACCCCATCAGGGTAGGAACTCCCAGGCAGGAACTGAAGAAATGCTGGGCCCTGGCTTGCTTCTCTTGGCTTGCTCAACCTGTTTTACAACCCCTCACCTTGTGGAATGGTCTCACCTACACTAATCATTAATCAAGAAAATGCACCACAGCCTTGCTCACAGACCTTTCTGGTGAGGGCATTTTCTCAATTAAGGTTCCCTGTTCCCAAATGACTCTAGCCTGTGTGAATTTGACAAAAAGTCAACGTAATATGTCCTGTTCCCTTCTGTGTTTAACTTGCTTTTACAAGAACATCATAGCAATCAGCCTTGGAGTTCCCATGCTGTCAGCGTTTACAACCTAGGATAATTAACGGCTTCAGTCTTAAGTAGTGTCCTCTTCCATGTCCCCAGCACAGATAGTTTGATAGTTCTCTCTCTCTCTCTCTCTCTCTCTCTCTCTCTCTCTCTCTCTCTCTCTCTCTCTCTCTCTCTGTGTGTGTGTGTGTGTGTGTGTGTGTGTTAACTATCTGCTGAAAGCAGCCAACAGGTCAGAATCAACCTTATAAAATAAGTATTCACCATAAATGTTGCAAAACACATGGGTATTGTTTGTCTGAGTTTAAGTTAGGGTGGGTAAAATGACTCTTTGTAGAACTCTGTTAAAGATTTCGCTAAGGGATCCCTCATCCCTCTCGTGTGCTGTTTTTTGTGTAGTTAAGCAAAGTCATAGCCAAGTTCTTGTTAGGGGACAGGTAGACATTAGGCAGTATTCAGGCAGGCACAAATACATACAGTGACAGGTCACAGATTGGCCAGTACCACAAAGTATGACAGAGGGAAGATACAGGGTAAGTGGTGGAGATTTCAAATGTGGGCTTGTTCTTGGTCAAATAAATACAAATGAAGTTTTTTTTTTTTCATTTCTTAATGCAACACTGACACATTTTGGTACCTCTAAGTTTATCTTTAGTGCATTAAAACACTCCTCTCTGTCTCTCTCTCTCTCTCTCTCTCTCTCTCTCTCTCTCTCTCTCACACACACACACACACACACACACAGAATGAAAACAGTGTGGGTAAAGGTCCTTGCTGCTAAGCCTGCTGACCTGAACTCAGTTCCCAGAACACCATGGTGGACACAGAGACATCTTCCCAAAGTCATCCTCTCAAACCCACGTGCTCACATGTGGCATGTTATTATTCCCAAATAAGTATTTTAAGCTAAAAAAATGAGTTAGGAGTCCAATAAATAGCATAAATGTAATTAAAAGAAGCATCTTAGCAGCTGATTCTTACAGACACAAATAGGAAGTAGAATTTAGAAGGAGGACCTATGCCTAGGAAGTAAAACTTGGATGGAGGATGGAGTGCTGGAATAATTTCAAACCACTCTTAGCTGATTGGCTTAGAGCTATGCTTACCAATAAAATTTGTTCAAATTCTGGTCATATGAATGTTAAGGGGGGGGGGCGTGTGCCGTGCAGTAGTCCCCATGAGTAGTGGCATAGAATGAGTGGGCAGGGCATAAGGAAATTTCCATTGCTTTTCTAGTTGTAGGTTGCTTTTTGCAGAAATTACTGGAGGAAATGTTAACAGTAGTCCTCTAGGAGGTAAAGATGAGGGCATCTTTCTGTGCTTTTTATGCATGTATTGATTTTAAAATGAGAAATACTAACTTTAAATTAGGTTTAAGCCAGGCATGGTGATGCACATGACTCCAGTCCTGACTGGACCAGGACTGTAAATGAGTCACAGTGAACCCCCTTGAAGGCTCTGTGGATCATGGGACACCCAGAAACTCTTGGAATGTCAGGTGCAAAGAAAGGAGAGCGGCATCATTTCGGCCTCTTGTTCTTAGGTTGATGAGCAGATTGAACTGTAGCTAGCAAAGCAGTGCTATTGTCAGTGAACATAAAACATACCTTGGTAATTCATTGAAATCTAAGAAGCACCATGGGGTAATCATTTCACACCATTTCTCCCAAATTAAACAAACATATTGTCCTATTTAGGGTCCTGGGTCTGAGTATTAGGTTCAAGTTGGTTTCAGCCGGTCTGTTATTTTGTTTGTTTTTGTTTTGTTGTTGACTATGGCTGACCTTTAACTCTCTGTGTAGCTGAGGGTGACTCTGTTTCCGCTTGGAACTCAGGGCTTCCTGCTCTTGCTGAGCACCCTCCTAGCACCCCAGTCCTAGGAAGGCAATGATTCTACTCTTGTTTTCATCCTGAAGGTCCTTTCCCCCCTTTAACCTGTTAAAAAGTACATCTGTGGCAAAAAAGAAAATTTCAAATAAAGTTATATAAAATAAAAAACCAGACTTATTTGTCCTTGCTCCTCCCTTCCAGGTAGGTACTAACACTGGGCAGAAACCTTCCCAAGAGTTGTAGCCTTTCAGTGAATACAGTGTAGAGTCTTGAGGAAATTATGTTACAAAGCATTGTCCAGTGATGCATGTGAACTATAAGTTGAAACGTCCCCATTTTTAGCAGTCCATGGCCTTTCACACTGGGTGTAGACTGGCACCTAACTTATTTAGTCATTAGTATCTTAGTGCATTTGGGACTTGTCTCAGTTTTCTGTTAAAGTATCACAAGTGTCACTGTTGGCATGCCTTAGTGAACTCTGGGAATACTGCTATGGAAAAACTGTTAGCATGGAGCTGCCTGGTTAGAGAGTGCACATCTTAATTCGAAGAGGGTGCAGGTGCCCCTTTCAGTAGGGCGTGCACTAAGATTGGAAGGGACAGGATTAACACGGCACAAAGATGATGTGCAGTCTTACAGAGCATTCCATTTCGTTTTCAAAAAGAGAGAATGCAGTATATTTTGTTGTTGTTGTTGTTGTTTTTGCACTCATGTGCTTTGCCTACATGAGTTTCTGAGTGCCACATGGGAGCCTGATGACCACCTAGCCATCAAATCACTGCAACAGGAGTTACAGACAGTGGCGAGCCACCATACAGGTGGTGGGAATTGAACCCTGGTCTTCCAGAAGAGCAACAAGTGCTCTTAATTGCTGAGCCTTCTCTCCATTCCAAAGTCTAAAAAAATTTATAGTTTGTACTAAAGTGTAAATTTCTATTTCTGTGAAGACAGGGACTTTGTGTTATTCACGTTTTGCAACTCTCAGAGCAATAATTAGAAAGAACTACTTAACCATAGAAGAAATACATTAAGATGTAAATACTTTTTCATCCATTTACCTTACTTCCTACCTATCTACTGATTTACTTTTTTGTGACAGGATCTGACTATTATGTAGCTCTGGCTGTCCTGGAACTCACTATGTAGACTAGACTGGCCTTGAACTCATAGAGGTACACCTACCTCTGCCTCCAGAGTGCTGGGATTAGAAGTGTGTGCCACCATGATTGACCTCATAAGTGTTTTCCAGTTGCCTTCTGTTGACATTTTTATCAGTGGTATTTTAAAACACTGTGTCTTAGGTCCTCACCAAGACTTCATGTTACCCATCTGCTTCAAAGTGTCACAATACATCTGATGGTATCTTAACTGTGTTCTGTTCTTTCATCCAAGCCTGTGAGTGACATTCTGTAATATGAATATATGAACTTCCTTATAGAAGGTATTACCTCAGAGTGTGACTATGTGGGCCAGTGCTGTGCCTGAAAATGCTGATTTCTCTGTCCTATTGTTGGAAAGAAGTTCTCAGTATGTTGAGCACTTTGCCCTGCACGTCAGAGCACACACACAGTCTGCTGAGCGGACTTGCCTTCTGACCTTTGATGTCTGCTTGCTGTGTGAAAGGGCTTTTGTGGCTTGGCCTGTTGGAGGGCGCAACATTTTGTTCAGTGTTGAGTGCTGCTCCCCAGAGCTGTGTGCTCTTAGAGAGGCTCGTCTGTCTTGTATTCAGAGAACTTTGAGTTGATCTTCTCTTGCTTGGGACTCCTTTCTAGGTACCTGTTTGCCTTGCAACTCAAGAGAGACCTCCTGGAGGAGCGCTTGACCTGCGCTGCCACGACGGCAGCCCTTCTCACGTCCCACCTTCTGCAGGGTTAGTGTCCTCACCGAGGGGAGGACGCCCGGCACCCACAGCCGCCCGGCACCCACAGCCGCCCGGCACCCACAGCCGCCATTAGCTGCCGGTGCTCGCTCGCGTGTAATTGACAAGTCTGGGTTGTTGGTTTTTTTGTTTTTGTTTTTTGTTTTTTTTGTTTTTTGTTGTTGTTTTTGTTTTTTAAAGGCATTTCTATTCTTGATGAGAGGAAAGCTAATTTCTGTAATGTGCCACTCCTGGAGGCAAATAGCTCTGCATATAGACTCGGAGCCAAAATCTGTAGTTCTGTTCATTCTTTCGAGTTGTCTCCCATTGATGTCTTTGTGCATTCTCTTCCCTTTCCCAGTGTTGGGAAAGAACACTGAGCCTTATACATGCTAGGCAACATTCTGCTACTAAAGCACAGCACCAGCCCCTTGGATGTTTTGTTGCTGTTGTTTATATTCTTAAACTACTTGGTGTGGCCTTAATTTGTGTACTCCAGACTGACCTTTGTCTCCATGCCCTATCTACCTTTATCTAGTTTAACAGCAATAAATAGTCAGTCCAGAGTCAGGCTATAAATCAAGTTCTCAGCACATCCAGGAAGGGGCCTGCTGAGGGTGAGTTACAGTCCTCACTGTCTAAACATTAACACTAAAGGGAAGAGTGCACATGCCTTCAGTGTCTTATAAGGAAACAAAGGGTGATGGAGAAGGGTGTAAAAACTAAACTAACATCACATGAACTGTGAGATTCCAAGACACTGAGCATGTTTTACAGGACTTGTATAGCCTGGGGAATAGAAAGGTGAGGGCCCACATTGTTTCTAGACTAAAAGTGAGGCCCTTGTCATGGTGCACTTACTATGTACAGGCAAAACACTCACATAATACAATAAAAATAAATGCACTTTTTTAATTAATACATTTAGGAGATTTTTGAAAAATTGAAAAGCCCTGGAGGAAAAGAAGGATTTAGCGGATTTTCTAAAGCAAAATAATTATTGTGGTTATAGTATTTATGATACTATATATGTATAACTGATTTTTAAAAATAGAAGCCAAGTGGTGGTGGTGCATTCCTTTAATTCTAGCACTTGGGTGGTTTAAAGGCTAGCCTGCTCTACAGAGTTTCAGGACAGCCAGGACTGTTACATGGAGAAACCCTGTCTCAAAAAACAAACAAGAAACAAAAAATTAGAAAGCTAGGGCTAGAGAGGTGACTCAAAGGTCTGACTGCTCTGACTGCTCATGCAGAGGCCTTGCTCTGACTGCTCATGCAGAGGCCTTATCTGACTGCTCTGATTGCTCATGCAGAGGCCTTAGGTCTGTTCTCAGCACTCCAGTCCAGGGGACATGTTTCCTTCGGGCTTCCTTGAGCTCTGCATACATGTGGTACATGTACATGCTACATGTACATGCTACATTCAAATGCAGGCAAAACACTCATTTGCATTAACTTTTAAAAACTCTTTCAAAAAATAAAATGGTCATTGTTCTCAGGGTTCACTATAAACTCTCATTAGAATTTTTGGTCTTCACAAGGTGGGAGGGGTAAATCCCTATACCTTTTCTGTGCTTACCTTTGAACAGCATAATATTGGGAAAAATAAAATATAAACCTTTTGCATGCTCAGTGCTTATCATTTACTTCAAAATCTAAGTCACTGATTTCCGTTGTCTCATCAGCGGAGATAGGAGATTATGATGAAACCCTGGATCGAGAACACCTCAAAGCCAATGAGTACTTGCCCAACCAGGAGCAGTCCCTGGAAAAGATCCTAGACTTCCATCAAAGGCACATGTAAGTTGGTCAGAAGTGGGGAAATGTAGCTACCTAGATGTGACTCCCTGTGAGCATCACTTTCTTGAAGGCTGCTTAATAGGATGTTGGCCAGATTCATGTCTGTTCTCTAGTGATGTAACCTAGGCTGTGGACTGTATAGCATTTTAGGAGACCTTTATGTGGTTTGTTGTTGTTCCCAAGGTAGGGTTCTCTGTGTGATCCTAGATAACCTGAAACTCATTCTGTAGACCATGCTCAAACTCAGAGATGTGCCTACCTCTGGCTTCCAGGTGCTGGGATTAAAGGCATGCACCACCAACACTCGGTAAATTCAGTTGTTTTACAACAATAAGAAAGATACCAGTATCATTTAGGACATTTATTCCAGCTCACTGTTTGTTAGCTAGATGTGTTATTTTCGTATAACTTAAGTTGTAAAACTGATCATTAAGTTAATTCAAATGAAACATTCTACCTTTTACAAGTAGATTAGAATAAGAAAATAAAAGACTGACATAGAAGTAACCTATTTCCTTGGCCTCCATATATGGTATGCTAGTTTCGTAGTGGATAAATGCATGGATGTGAACCATATCGCCTCTAAAAACAAAACCTTCCCCACTGATTTGTTGGCTGGCTTTATCTGACTTTTCCTGACCCTCTTTCTTATAAGATTTGACTCCTTTAGAAGACAAGTGTTTAATATGTTAAAATGTTCTTCATTATAGGGGTCAGACACCTGCAGAGTCAGATTTCCAGGTGCTGGAGATTGCAAGGAAATTGGAAATGTATGGCATCAGGTTTCACATGGCTTCTGATCGAGAAGGAACCAAGATTAATCTTGCAGTTTCTCACATGGGTGTCCTCGTGTTCCAGGTAGGTGTAAAGACATGGAGTGGCCAAAGCAGACTAGAGCCCTGGTGCACAATGGTTTGGTATGGTTTGTTGTTGCTGTGTTTGTTGTGGATTTTTATTGTGATGAGTGAGTGCTGTGTGTGGAAGAGAAACATAGCACATCATCTAGTCTGACCAACCTCTTACATAAGAAGCTGCTTTCCTGTCCTTGTCTCGCACAGTAAACCGTGCTCACTGTCTTGGAACTCACAACCCACACCACCACCAGGGTTGGCCACTGTTCTGTTATTTATTCTAATGTTGAATCACAGTCACCCTTGGGATCTTAAACGGGGACTCAGGATCTTGTCTGGGGGTTGTGGACATTCTGGGGTAAGAACTCTGCTGAGCTATGAGTTAGACGGGGCACTGGGAGTTAGACAAAGTGACCCTGCAAACAGAAGGTCTCGTTTGTCTGGATGAAGAGCAGTTACAGCCCTGCTGGCAGACGCAACACACATTCCCCATGCTACAGCAATATAGGGTCTCCCGGCCGTGGTATGTGTCAGAGGTCAGAGTCGAGGCACCTCCTTGAAAATGTAGACTCACGAGAAACCTGCAGTTAGGTGACACAGTCCTTTCCCGTGTCAGCTCCCAGGAATGCCGCCAGTTGACAGGGCACTGGTAAGTTGGTAGGTGCTGATGCCAGTACATGCGACAGCAGCTCTAGTGTGGAAGCTTCTCTGGAAGCACAGAGAACCCCATCTGTCCTTACCCTGGGACTGCCCTTTGTCAGCTGAGTCTCTGCTTCTTCCACAGTCTTCTGAGAATAAGTGACATGCATCCTTACCTTCAGACCTACCTTTATATGCATTTCTTATGGATAAGGTGCTCTTTTATATAATCACAATGCGTTTACCACTGACACCATAATACAGTAATCCCAACTGTCTGGGAGCTGAGTCAGGATCACAAGTTCAAGGCCATCCTGGGCAACAAAGCAAGCCTCAAAAGGAAAAAAAAAAAAAATAGCATGGCAGCATAATGACTCAGTGGGTTAGCTTGCTTGCTGCCAAACCTGATGACATGAGTTTGATCTTCAGCCCACAGGAGGAAGGGAAGAACTGACTTCTACAACTTGTCCTCTGACCTCCACACATGTCCCATGACATATATGCATCCATGCATACACAGACACACATATACACACACTAAAGAAAGGAAGAAAGAAAAATTTTAATATTAAAAAATTACTAGATCAAAAATAAATAATAAATAAATATTAATAAAATGCAATTTGTTTTATTGCCAGGTGATACCCTTGTATAGTGTGGCTCCTGCAGGACAGCTTGTAGTCTAAGGGCAGATGCATCCTTTATCCCTCACATTCAGTCTCAGTTTCTTGATTCTGAATCATTTACTATGTACGGTCTTTTCTTTTTCATTGTTTAATGACATTGACATTATTGAAGAATATCTCTCCTTTTATAATACAGTCCTAATGGTGGCTTATTGGCTGTTTTCTGTGATTAGCGTCAGGTAACATACTCTCAGCTGGGCTCCTAGGAAATACTGCAGCCTTCAAGGCTTCCCACTGGTGGAGCAAACCTGTGTGTGCACTGATGCTCTTCACTACACACAGTAGTTTGTCTCTTTTAGCTGAGACGTATTTTACCACCACAAACTCATCCACACCTCTTCCGATTTCCTTGTGATTGGCGTTCATTGGTAACCCTTAAAGTCACAATCCTAATGTTTGTAATACATACATGTAAGTGAGGAGTGGCAGGCATCTGAGGGGTCTCTGTCCCGAGGGACAGGCACTAAGTTTGTTTAGGAGAAACAGCCAGTAACAGAGATGGAAGAGTTGGAAAGACAGAACAAAACTTTAGGAGGGTGTGGCTCTTCACCTACCAGATTCTGGCAAGCAGAACAATCCATGTTGTGTACGACCATGAGAAACAGGAACGCTCCTTCGCCAGAAATATAAAACCTTTACTTTGTCACTTTTACTCTAGTAAAATCCTAGAAAATAACCCTTAGAAGTTCATTTAAATAAATTATATGCTTCTGTATTACAAGACAGCTGCACATTGAAGATGTATGCTCTCTAGGCTCTAATACATGAAATATTCTTTTTGAGAAAGATTCAAAACTATGTAGTACTCTGGTGAAAGGAGGGAAAATCAATCGCTCACTCACTCTCTGACACACACTTGCATTCAAGAGTGTGCATGCACACTTGTACACACACACCACACACACTCTGCTCCACACAAACTGGTAATTTTACTGGTCCTACAGAGGGTAATTGCAGTGATAGGCTTTGGTCAAGAGTGAGAGGGAGAGTTTACTGTGGTGCAGCTTCAGGGTCTGAGCTTTGTCAGTCTGTTAGAGAGAAAACATAAACCGTAAAAACAAATCAGAATTCTAGAGAAAAACAAAGGTAGGACAATAGTTACAAATTTAGAAAATAGGATTAGGTCTGCAAAATGGCTCAACTGATAAAGGCCCTGCTACCAACCCTGATGACCCCAGTTTCAGTTTCTTTTTAAAGGCAGGGTTATAGCTCTGACTACCATGGCCTTGAACTCAGATCCACCTGCCTCTGCCTCCCGAGTGCTGTGATTAAAGACATGTGCCACCACTGCCCAGCTTAAAAAAAAAAATTTAAAGAAAGAAACCAAGGTCTGGCTACCAGATCTGCCTCTTGCTTTTTAGGGAGTCATTTCTAAGCCCTCTGAAAGCTACATGTGTGTGCTGGTCACATGTCTATATTGTTTTTGCATCTGTCCATCTTTGGATGTGGAAACCAGAAGTTTTCTTTAACTATAGTGCATTCTAGGGTTGTCTTCCTGATTTTCCCTGGGAAGAAACCTGAGGCCCCTCCCAGCCAGCCTAGCCACCACCACTTCCCTTTGTTGGGGGAACTTCAAAATGTGTGCTGTTACTGTTGTTTTTTTAAAATTTGCAATAAAGTTGTACCTAAGGAAATAAATAATATATTAGATGTTGGGATTTTTATTTGGAGCTGTTCTAGGTGAAATTGCGATGTGCACTTGACTCTCTGCTTCCTGTCAAGGATGTAGCTTTAGAGGATTCTACTGTGAAAAACGGCCTCTGTACTTACATTCTAAATGTGCCGTGTGTGTCTGTCTGTGATTTTTCAGGGAATCACCAAAATCAACACTTTCAATTGGTCCAAGGTCAGGAAACTAAGCTTCAAGAGGAAAAGGTTTCTTATCAAACTGCACCCAGAGGTTCACGTGAGTATTACTTTTGAATTTTATTGCTAGGCAATTTAACCTTACAGAATATTAAACTTTTTTTAAACATTCGGTATGAAATCGGGGCACCCATCTATAATCTTGGCACTCTGGAGGCAGAGACAGGAAAATGAGAAGTTCAAGGTCATCCCTGGCTACCTAGGGAGTTGGAGACCAGCCTGGGCTAGAGAGTCTTGTCTCCAAAACCCTGTTATGTAAATCATTTCAGGATTAGGTGTTTAATAATTTAAAGTTGGGATTTGGGATCAGAGTCTCTGTGTCATAGCTTGAGAGCTGGTTGGTGGCCCAAAGGAAAATTTGCTATACTGCTTGGTTTATAAGAGCAACTTTTGAAATGGCATGTTTTAAAGTTGCATTTAAATCCCTAAATACCTAATTTTTCCCCAATTTTGTTCCCTCCCTCTTCTTCTCTCCTTCTCCCTCCCCTCCCCCTCCCCTCCTCCTTCCTTCTCCCTCCCATTCCTCCTGGGTGCCTGGATTGAAGGCATGTACCACCACCACCACCCCCAAGCCACCTAGTTTTTTTGTTTTGTTTTGTCTTTTTGAGATAGGGTTTCTCTGTTTAGCTTTGTCAACCTGGGTGGCCTCAAACTCACAGAGATCCACCTGCCTATGCCTCCCCAGTGCTGGGATTAAAGATATGTGCCACCATGGCTTCCGGCCACCTAGTTTTTAAGACTAAGTAGAAGACTTGAAGTAGTACAGTTGTAAGAACTCTGAATTTCATTTCTAGGAATCTATCCCAAGAAATCAAAAAGGCAGACATCACTGGTTTCTCCATGTTGACACATGTGAGCCTGAAAACATAACTTGTTATCTAAGGCGGGTACCACACCCAGACCGAGGTTTTAATTTCGAAGATGCCTGTGATCTTGCATTCTGCTCTCCAGTACTTTATTGCATTTGCTTCTTGAACTTTGTATTTTGTTTCTAGGGACCCTACCAGGACACATTAGAGTTCTTGCTGGGCAGCAGAGATGAATGTAAGAACTTCTGGAAGATATGTGTGGAGTACCACACATTTTTTAGGCTTTCTGACCAGCCTAAGCCAAAGGCAAAAGCTGTCTTCTTCAGCCGGGGCTCATCCTTCAGATACAGGTGGGGCTAACCTCTGTCGGCTGGGAAAGGGGAGTGAGAGGGAGGTGCCACAGGCAGGATGATAACGGCATTCAGTAGTTTTGTGAAGGACAGCACATAGAGAAAAAATCAAATAAATATTCAAAGTGTGAGAAAACAGACTTGAAAAAAAACCAACCTAGAAAATTGGCTATGCTTACTACCAAGTAGAACTTTGAGTTATATACGTGTTTCTGGGAGAGGATGGGCAGTCTTCTGTTTCTAACTGTAAAAGGTAATATTGTGAATTGCTGTTTTGTTTGTAGTGGAAGAACTCAGAAACAACTAGTAGATTATGTCAAAGATGGTGGGATGAAGAGAATTCCATACGAAAGGTAAATTCTGGTGTTTATGATATAAAGCATATGTCTTTAAAATTTCTATTTAAAATTTTTACCTGCATTCCTGTCTGTGCATCCCATGCCTGCAGTGCTTTCAGAGGCCAAAAGGGGGTGCCAGATCTCCTGGGACTGGACTTACATACAGATGGTTGCAGGAGACCTGCCATATGGATGCCATATGGATGCTTGTACTTGGACCCATGTCCTCGGGAAGAGCAGCTGGTGCTCTTAACTGCTGAGCCATTTCTCAGCCCCTCCTCCCTCTTTAAAAAACAGGGTCTTACTATGTGTAGCCTTGTCTATCCTGGAATTCATGTACCACTGGCTGGCATTGAACTCACAGAAATCCTACTGCCTCGGCTTCCTGAGTGCTAGGGTTAAAGGTGTGTGCCACCGTGTCCATCTTATTTTAAATATTACTTGAATAAATGATGTTTTAAAGGCATAAGCATGTATTTCAATGCTGAGTTCTTTGGTTTTTTTTTTTTTTTTTTTTTTTTTTTTTTTTAAGAAAATGGGTTTGTAGTGGCTTCATGGAGATAAATGATTCATACTTGGAATCAATTTATAGTTTCCAAACCATATTGCTCAATTTGTGTGTGATAGTTCTCAATGGCGTCTCAGTTTCTTTTCCCGTTGCTGTGATTTCATAGTTGACAACAGTGACTTGAGGAGGGAGAGGGGGGCTTGTTCCCGTGACAGTCAGGAAGCAGAGTGCTGGCGCCTTTGCTCAGCTCACTCTAATGTGTGGTCCTCTCCCAGGGAGGGCTCCATCACAGGCTTCCCTCTAAGTGATTCCAGACCCTGTCGTGTCGACAGTTAACACTGACCTTGATAGTCTGGTAAGCAACGTCAAAACTCATGTGGAAGTTTCCCTTACTATGCACATATAATTTCCATTAGTATGCATATATAGTTTTATCCTTTTTAAGTTTCTTCTTTAATTTCAGTTACTGATTTCTTTTATGCTGCCAGTTTCTAGCTTGCCGCCCTGTTTTGGTCATGGTCTTATGTGAGCTTTCCTTGTGTGCACAATACATACTTGGGTTTCTGGAAACACATGGTAAGAGGGATGGTGACAGATATGGAGGTTGGGGCTGAGCCTCACAGTGTATTCTCTGTTTTGCAGACGGCACAGTAAGACTCGGGCATCTCTTCGTGCTCTGACTGTAGATCTGCCTAAACAGGTCAGTCTTGGTTGAAACTGTATGCAATGTTAACTGACTACCTGGCATACTCTTCTAAACAGTCATCTTCTGTGTTGTAAGAAGGGTCACATGACTTAGTGCATATGCTGACTTCAGAGTGAATCCCAGGTGATGAGACAGCTGTGAGCTCTACACAGTCTGCTAGGGACTCTTAACAACTGCCAGCTGTGCAGGTGACTTCCTCGATGCACTGCAGCCTCTCCAGGTGGTGGATTGACGAGCCACACTTACAGGGCTGCGCGGAGGCACCTTGCTGTAAAGTAAAAAGCAGGCAATCGCTTCACATCTGTATGTGTTTGGTCTGATTAGGACTGTGTTAAAGCGAAGTCGTATATACATGTGCACAGATTCCTTGTGGAAGAACACTTGGCAGGGATGTCCCCAGTCAGATGTCAGCTGCTCCACAGCCCAGTGCTGAGCCATAAGTGACTAATCTATGTTCCAGGTGTGCCTCACGACAAGCCTTTTACCACTTAACTCCCACGCTCAGGCATGATTGTGTGCCCAGTCCTGCCTTCTGGTACCATCATGTAATTGCTTCCTTGTGCTGCTGTGGTCTCTTGCTTATAGTTCATTTCATTCTGAGCAGTGTTTTCTTATCTCTATTGATGGTCTATCATTTATTCTGAGCAGTTTCCAAGAGCTTCTTTTGAGCCCTGTATCTTAACGTTCGGTGTCCTCATCTTTTAATTGAATTTTAGAGGATAAATAACAATAAAAATTACATTTAAGCTTTAGTTACATAATTTATTTTAAAAACCACAGAAAATAAAGAGATATGATTGAGTGATTAAGAAAAGTCAATACACCAGGCATGGTGACTGACTGACATCTATAATTTCAGCACTTGGAGGCGGAGGCGTAAGCGCATGAGTTCAAAGCCTGCTTAGGCTGCATAGGCTGCATAGAAGACACTTAAACAAAACAAAGCTAAAAACAGGCAATATAGTAGTTATTTAAAGTATGAGCAGCTAATTTTTTTTGTACAAGGCTAGTTACTGAGCCTCCTGTGACTGCACTTGCTTGCTTTTTTTCCACTTTGCAATATGTGTATACCTAGGTGTATTGCTTATGGATGGGTTGCCCTAGAAATATTCGATTCTGTGATGTGGTTTCTTTGTGTGCCTTGGCTATGCTGGAATTAGCTCTGTATGCCAGATCTGCCTGACTCTGCCTCCTGAGTGCTGGGATTAAAGGTGTGTGCCACTACCACCTGGCTAAGGGGTTTTTGTTTTGTTTTGTTTTTTCAAAGTATGGCTGTATCTTAGTAAGAGCACACAGGAGAGAGATGTTAGCATGTAGAGAACTGAGGCATCCTTACATACAGCATGGTGAGTGAGGACAAGGCTAGGGCACCTGGAGTAGCGAGCCCGTGGTGTGGCTCCTTTCCTTCCCTCACCCTGCTAGAACCGTCTTCTGGCTCATACTTGAGCCAGTCTAGCACTTTCAGAAGGTCCCAGGGCTCTTGTACCTGATGCTGGCACAGGACGTCCTAATCAGTGAGTTTCAGCCTCCCAGCTCAATCTCACTCGCGAGTGGACTCACATGTATAACTCCTCCTTGGTGATACTAAATCTCTAACACTCGAGATCCCCGGGACTGTAAGCATGTCCTTGTTACCTGGTGTCAGCACCACAGTGAGGGCACTTTTAGCTGAATAGAGATGTGAACACCCAAACGCGTCTACTTAGAGACTTAGGAGGACCAGGGCTACCACAAAAACCTTGTCTGCATGTTACCTAGTTCTCTGTGATGGTTTCTCCTCTTTACAACCTTTCATGCCACTGGGGGTGGGGGGAAGAATTGAAGGGTGTTAGAAGCAGATGGCCTTGGGTCAGGTTGCAGTACTGTGCATTTCTAAGGCAGGCATGGCTCACATCCGTAACCCAGTACTTGGGAGGCAGATCGGCACAAGTCTGAGACTAGCCAAGACCACAGTGAGACTGTCTCCAGACAAAATCTAAACCTCACTTGGTGAAAGGGAAAAGCTGTTCAAGTCCCCTTTTCAAGAAAAGTTGTAAGGATGTGTAGATGTTGGCAGTTGACTCAGTTGGCTTTACAATTTGGAAAGTGTTTTATAATTTTTTTTTTTTTTTTTTTGTTCCCTGTTTTCTTAATTTTGATCCCAGAGCATCTCATTCACCGATGGCCTGAGAACTTCTGCCTCCCTGTCTTCAGCAAATGCCTCCTTTTATGCACTCCCTGCTTCCTCTTTGTCCCCTCCCGGTATGCCCAGTTTGAAGCACAGCAGCAGTTCCCTTGTGGATCCCCAGGCTCCCTCCATCAAGAGCACAGCAGCAGAGAGGAGCAGCAGAGCTTCATCAGAAGGCCCCAGCGCGCTACCGGCCCATCTCCCTGGACCCCCTGTGCTCCAGCCTGGTCCAGGTGCCGGGTTTTGTGGTGTTGTGAACAGCCATGGTTCTGCCTGTCCCAGAGGACAGAGTCTCGATGCTTTAGACCCAAACAAAGGGAGGGCCAGCAGGGGACTCAAATCTGTTTGTAGAAATGACAGTAGTGAGGATGCGTTTTCTTCAGGCTCCTTCTTGCCCAGCGGGGAATACCAGGGTGGCCGGCAGTGCTTGAAGGGGACTCCTGTTTTCACATTGGCAGATGCACAGCTGCAGGTGTCTGAAGAGTTCATAGACGATGACCCAGCAGACATCTCTTTCTTTGCTGGAGCCTCTGAGGCATTTTCTTTCCCATACGGTTCCTTAGTCCTTCAGGAGTCCCTGTTGCCTATCCAATCCACTGCCTCTCCTACCTTGTGTGGTCTGGATTCCTTCCAGCAGGCAGAGTCTGCCCACTCCAGCCCAGATAGATACTCTACTGAGGCAGTGGACATGAGTGTAGAAGATGATTTTGAATTTGGGGAAGGAAGTGACTTCAATGGCAATGTACATCCCTCAGACACCTCAGAGCTCTTTGAGGTAAAGGCACAGGCTAGCCTGATGCAGAGCCTGTTGAGTCCTTCTGAAAGTAGCTCACTTAGGAACAACCAGTCTGAGAACAGCTCCCTCAACAACATGCCACTGCACGGTGGGCTTTCTCTGCACACATCCAGCTCAGCCAATCAGTCTGAGGCCAGCTCCATGGTCAATTTCCCAGCCTACTCAGTGCGCTCTGAGTCCAGCTCAGCCTTCCAGTTCTCTGACATCATAGACCAGCTAGAGCAGCTTAGCTACCCACCCACAACAGCTGAAGACTCGAGCAGTTCAGACACAGACTCATGGGACTCGGAGGCAGAGGCTCCCCTGGACATGAACCTCTTCTTTAGCAACCCTTTTGCTCAGACTGGTGGGGAGAGAGTCCCTTTCAGTTTTCAGCCCAATGTAAAGAGTTCCACTCCAGGAAAGCAAACAGATAAAGACCCGTCTTGACCGCTCTGGACTCCTCTGTAAAGAGCCCCTTCCCCCACTGGTATAGTTAGTGATCAGAATCCTTTCTTCAGCATAGAAATGACTTAGTTCATGCTAGTCAGGGCTTTTTCTAATTACAGGTAGATTATACAGTGTTGAATGTCAAGGAATTACAACTTTCCTTTGAAGTGATGTTGAAACTTGCACATGACTCTAAAGTGGAAGAGCATTTGCAGCCATTCCTTGTAGTGATTGCCGAACTGACCTCTGCAGCATTGGTTTTTTTTGACACCTGCTTGAATTCAAGTAAAAACTGGTGCTATACATTTTGAATATTATGCAGTTCAGATTCCTGTTCATCTGTGGTGGATTGTATATCATGCCTCTTGATGCTGCTTTTAAAATGAACCATGCTTCCCAAGACCAGTTAGCATGTAGGTTTTGTTTAGGTTGTGCGGCCAGTTACAGTATATGAAATCTCTGCAGAATGCCTTGATAGCCTCCCAGGAAGGACAGTGGGTGCAGAGGTGGCCCTGGGACTTCACTGGAGTCGCCAGCCTCTCCTTGTTACTGACCGAGGTCGTGCTGTGTTTAGAGTGCCCTTGCAGGGGCACTGGTCTAAAAGCCTTGGTGAAAGCTGGAGCGGCTTTCCTTCCTTCTGTTCATCTTAGTTACAGGTGAAATAGGTACTGTGGTTGTAGCCGAGCAGAGCCAGATCCACGAGCGAGCTTTGAAGAGCATAGCATAAGCTGGTGCAGCAGAGTCGTTTCTTTACTGACATACAAGTTGTTTGTTTAAAATGCTGAGAGCATAAACGCCCCAGGGTGCACGAGAATTTGAGTCTTGTCTGTAGGAGTGACACTAGGTTGCGTCACAGGGTTTCCAGTACAAACTGTTGCAGACATGGCTCTGTCCAGTGAGCATATGCTGACAACTGCATGTTCCAAAGTTCTGAAGGACAGGACTGATATTCATAGGATAAGCCACTGATACGAGAGCCAGTATCTCATAAGAGGTGGCCATCTGGGCAATGTCTGTATGGCCCATGGGTGACTGGGTCTCTTTGGTTGGTTGGTTGGTTGGTTGGTTGGTTGGTTGGTTGGTTGGTTGGTTTGGTGGTGGGCCTTTGTAATCGTATCTAGCAGTGCATGACACATTGAGTTTCATTTTCTTCTCGAGTGTCCTATGGAAATCATGTTTTTCTGGTGAGAACCCAGGTCCTTGGACATGATAGGGAAGTGCTTCTTCATTGAGATCCATCCCCAGCCTCCTTGGGGAACTTTACCCATCATTTATGAGACTTGTAGTTCTGTGCTGGGATGGGGTGAGTGTGCTGGAGTCTGAGGCACCGTGAAATCGTCTTTTCTTATTGTGTTGGTCAAGTTGTAGCAAGGGGTTTGTGGCTAAATGGGTCCTTATTTTTGTTTTTGGTTTTGTTTTTGGTTTTTGTGACAAGGTCTTACTTTGTAGCCCAGGATGACCTAGAACTCATATAGCCCAAGCTAGCCCTGAACTCATGGCAGTCTACCCATCTCAGCCTCCCAGATGCTGGGAGTACAGACTATGGCCCGTGGTGGTTTTCATTTTGTAACTCCCTTAGGCATGTACACTGCAGACTTTTTCTATAACTAGTTCAACCAATCAGTGCCTGCTGTCTGTTCCCCTTTCCTTAGAAGTGGGGGCTGCACTCCATGCAGAGAGGGCAATGCTCTCAGAACAGAGCTGCTTGAGACAGTGCATCACTCCCAAAGGAACCTGGGATTTGTGTCATGGGGAAGAACTAATCAGTATCCCCTTTAAAATGCTCTTGAACCTTAGTATTGGTATTGCTCTCTTCTTGTCACTTAACCAATGTCCCCATTAATGCTGAGGCAGCCTAGTTGTCATTCTTGACTTCTGGCTGGTGGGTTGGTTTTATTTTTTTGAGATCCTGGAATCCCAGGCCATCTAACCAAAGATATCTTGACCCTCTACCTCCATGTCTAGAATGCTGGGATTACAGGCATGCGTGCTACACGATGTCAGTTGTTGAGGTGCTGAGGGTTGAACTCAGTGCTCATCTGTTTTTCAAGCAAGCCTACCCTCATACCTGGGCAGCAGGTCAGGTATGCGAGGGGTTGAGCCCACTCTTCTACCAGGCTAGGGTGAGTGCATCATGGTGAAGCTAGTGCTGAGGGTTAGGGCCTCCTCCCCGTCAGTTCGCCACACCCTCCCCTCCCATCGGAGAGTCTTAATGAGCCCTTGTCACCGTCTTCTGTTAGGCCTCCTATAAAATGGGTTTTGTTGTTTTTATTTCTACTAAGGGAACCATACTTTCTGTAGAAATTCTTTCAGGGGAGGGGGAGTTTCAAACTATACACAAACAAGAATATAATAAGCCTGTTCTGTCCTGTCCAGTCCCCACTCCCATCAGATGCTGGGACTTGACCAAGTCCCAAGAGACACCTACTCTGTCTCTTCTTTTCAAGTTGGTTTGCAGCCCTGGAGATTGAACCTGGGCTCCTTGCCGCTCAAGCAAGCACTTGCCATCAAGCTCTGTCCCTCCCAGTCACCTTTTTATCATTTATTTTGAGGCAAGTTCTTACTAAGCTGTCCAGGCAGGCCTTGGATCTGTGATCTTCTTGCCACAGCCTCCAGAGAGTTGGGATTACAGTTATTTACTGCCATCACTGTCTTTCTGATTGGGGGCTGTAGCAATTTAAAGAAACCGCTGGAGAGCTTATTATACCTTTCCTCAGAATTCTGACAGCATCTCTGAAACTCAAGGTGCACACTTACACAGGCCTGCACGTTCATTATCGTATGAGATGAAAGCCCCCTGGTATCATCTAACCCTGAGAACATACTTAAACTACCCAGTTATCTTCAGTGCTTGGGCATAGTGGCACACCTGCAATCCTAGCATTTGGGAAGTGGAGGGAAGAGGCTCTTTAGTAAGGCCAGCCTGGGCTGCGTAGTGAGATCCCTGTCTCAAAACAGTCACAAGCCCAGTTAATGTTTGAACTGTTCAAGTCAGGACACAGACATGGTCTGCTTTCTTTGTCTGCCTGTTACATTTCAATCAGAATGTCACATCCCCATTTTAATCTGCCTTGTAGGGAAAGCCAGGCTAGTAATGCTTCCTCGGGTCCCAAAGCCTGGCCTGGCACCCAGGTTCTGGAGCCCCATATGACCTCCAGTGGGAAAGAGGACAGCTGTGGGAGGGGTGTGGCATCCCAGGTGCTCTATGGATAACACTTTGTGGTGTTGGGCATCCGCCAGCTGTACCCTCTTCTGAGCTCCTGTTCACGCTGTCCTGACCTTCCCCTTCCCAGGGGCCACAGTGTGCAGGTGCTCAGGCCATGTCTCAAACTACACTCTCCTTGCTGCCCTTGAGCTACTGTCTTACTCTCACTGTAGAAGGTGCAATGTGGCCTGAAGACACTGAACCCTGAGCCTGTGTCAGCCAGTGGCCCCACTCTGTGGGTGTGGCCCATATAAACAATGACTGGGAAAGATGCAGAGTCTGAAGTGCGTGAGTTCATAGCCTTAAGTCTCATGTCCTGGTCTGGAACAGCTCCTCCAAGTGAGTGGACACAAGTTCTATGGTGTTGACAGTGTTCTCAGTCTGCTGGTCTCCTTAGTTACGTCCAGAACCTTCTTAAAGGGAATAGTTCCCCCACCCTGGATAGGCCCCTGTCAAGGCTGTCATGGTGACTTTTAGGATGGGTGAAAGGGAGACCCAGAGAGGCTGTCACAGCCAGTATGTCCATGCTGAGAGGTAACAGTGGTCAGGTCTGTCCGCTTAAATAATAGTAGCCAGTGTGTCAGTGTTGACAGGGGGCAAAATTCCATGTCTGTCCCCTGAAGTACAGGGCCACCATTAAATCCACCACTAACAATGTAGATACATTTTTTACTAGCTATCAAGTCTATTTTTATACTTAAGATCCCAAAGTCTCAACATTTTATATAAGCCAGTATGAATATTTGAAGACTAATGGCATAGTTATGTGGTAGCAAGATTGTTTATACTAGAGATGTGCAGTG